CCTCCCAAGGGCCCAGGTTCAATCCCTAGCCCAGGAACTAAGACCCCACAAAAAAAAAAAAAAAAAAAAAAAAAAAAAAAAAAAAAGGCATTACAGCGGGCGGGGTGGGACATCCACCTTCCCTACCCCTTCCCTCAGCTCCTGACACAATATCCTTCCAAAAGTGGCAGCTGGAGTAGAGGAAACAGGATGTGGGAGACCCCAGAATCCAGAAGGAAGAGTGGAGAGAGAGGTGGTGCTAACACTTCTGGAACTGGCCACAGGAAAAGGCAGTGAAGCCACAGAGCTGCGTCCAGACTCATGGGACCCTGCTCTCGGCCTCACCCTGGGCCTGGAGCCCCCACATGTCCAATTGTGAAACAGAGCTGAGGATCCTGGCTGCCTCCCCTGTCCTTCTATGAAGAAGGGGAGAGAGGAGATACTGGGAGATGAAGAGCCTTTACTTCAGCTGGAGGACAAAAGCCTATTGCTCCCTGGTGGGCTCAGAGCTGGGACACCCTCAGTGGCTTCTACCCCTCCTTGAAGGGCAGGGGAGGACTAGATATGCAGTCTGAGGGGTTGGGGAAAGAGAGTACTGGAGAGTGGACGAACCCCCTCCTCCACCCATGCCTGCCCAACTGAGACAAAACAAAAAACACAGTGACAAACAAGGCTGCTCCCTTCCCTCCACACTCCCTAAGGCAGGGAGCCTCCCCCTCCCCCCATCCAAGACAGCTGCTCTAATGGAGGACTTGTAAAGAATATACACACCGTGGAGGGAGGGGGTTGGGGGCTGGGATAGGAGTCACAAGCACTAGGAGGGCAGGCCAGAGTCCTAGAGGATGGGGAGACAGAGACAACAGCAGGGGGCTGTCACAAAATTGAGGCCATCAGTGGCACCCTACCCTCATGGCATGCCTTCCCCAACTCCAGTCACCGCAGAGGAAAAGAGAAGAGAGATGGCAAAGTGTCTCCTTGGTCTGAAGCTCTCCAAACTGTATAAAATGGTGATGCATACCCCACTACCTCCACATAGGCCCTAAGCTCTCCATCTGCCAGGCATAGGGAGGTAGCTGGACCTTTAATAAGGGGAAATAGGGGACATGATTTTTTTTTTAAACTTACATTTTTAATAATATTATTTTTTAAAAAACTTGGAGCTGGGATAGGTGGCAGAAGGGAGGAGCCCAGAGCTTTACCCCTCTACTACCAGCCACCTAAGGGGAGGGTTTGCAGGAGGGGCATTCAACCAAGCCCCATAACTTTTAAGTCCCTAAGGGCTGTGGGCATAGACAACCCCAGGCTTGAAGAGGGTGGAGTCAGGAGGATGAGGGAACCCAGAACCTGGGGTGAGGATGGCGGCAAATGCCCTGGGAGGTGGTCGGGACATTTCTCAGAGGCCCAGGGTCCACATAGGCATCCACATGAGTACCCCCTTCCCCCAAAAGGCTCTGCAGAGGCCAGCCCCAGCCCAGGGCCACTGGGGGGGCAAATCTTGGCACCTGCCCCCAGTGAGTCCAGTTCCTCCCTGAAGCGGGTGGATGAGGCTGCCCATTTTAGATACTCAGTCTCTTCATTCTGTCTTCTGCTCCCTGGGGCTTCGAGGGGTGGGGCAGACAGGCAGAGCGCTGGGTGGCGGTGGCCATGGCAAAGCCTTTACTGGGAGGCCTGTGACGTGGGGTTCTCCGATTTGCTCTCTTGGCTGGACGGAGGCTTGCTGTTCCAGGGGCTGTTGGCGCCCAGGGCAGGGGAGTTGTTAAAGCTGTCCTCGTCGTCAATGCCGTTGGCCGCGTCAAACTGGGTGTTCTCCAGACGGGTGATGAGCCTCTCGTCCTCGTCCCCGAACTCCCCGCCCATCAGGGTGGGCTCCCCCACCACCATCACATCCTGAGAGTGGCGGAGGTCCCCAAACATAATCGGGGCAGGGGCTCGCCCAGCCCAGGGCAGCAGATACCCCCAGAGCCCCAACACCCACCCGGGAAACTCAACCTCCCCCCCCCCCACTTAAACCCCACTTTAAAACCCCAACTCCTCTGATACCCTCCGCCCCTGGAATACTTCCCACTGAAGGACTGCAAAGCATCACAGCCTTTAACCTATATCCACTGGATTCTGGGAGAAGTCAGTCTACTCCTCTAGCTCCCTAGTCCATCTCTCCAAAACTTTAGGGGGCTCCTCAACTTCTGTCCAATGTAAGAGAGGGAGCAGATCAAAAACACCGGTGGGGAAATGTATGTGCGTGTATGTATTCTAGATTTGCACACATTCAAGTCTGTGTGTCCCTCTGTCAGCGTGTCTGTCTCTCTGGTGGTCTGTGTGCCCCTAAGCTGTCTGTCCTTTATGTCCATACGTTCCCATAGCTGTCTCCGTCCCTTGATGTCGTTCGTACGTTGCTACGTCTGAGTCTGTGTGATCACAATCATGCACGTGACTGACAAGGACTGTCATCAGGGACAAGAGTTAGCCCACGATGGCAAAGTACACTGGGAAAAACTGTCTTTGTTTCTATGTCTGCTAGTGAGCTCAGGATGGGACAGGGTCAAGGGTCAGGGGCCAGCAGTGGGGCAGCCCAGAAGAGAGAAGAAAGCCGAGATGCTTACAGGTACCTGGCTGGAGAGGGCGAAGGTGCTGGCTGGGCTTTTCTTCTTGCTGTTGCTGTTGTTGGTGTTGCCGCCCCCCGAGCTCATGGTGCTGCCCCCTGACATCTTCCTTTTCCGCCGCTTGCTGGGCTGCTGCCGTGCAGGCTCCGCTGTGCCAGGGAAAGGAGACTCAGGTGGGGTAGCGCCCTGGGACCCTTATTCCCCATTCCGGCTCCTAAGGAGCCTGAGCCTACCCTGATCCCAATCTCACAGACCCAGGAAAGAGGAAAGGGCTTTGTGAAGAGACAGCAATACAGCCTTGGGGAAGCAGCATCAGATACTGGTAAGAGCAGGTGCAGGTGCAAGGCACTCACCAGGGGGTGCTACCATGCGCTGCCACTTCTGGAAGAGGCAGGTCTTGAGACAGTCACGGGGGCTGAGGCTGTAGGTCTTGTGGCGGGACATGAGCTCCTGCATGGGCTCGAGTATCACACAGAGCTGGGGGGAGACCAGTTAGTGGCTTGTCAGGGGACAGACGTGGAGTGGAGACCAAATGGGATGGGGCAGAAATTGGGTGACCAGAGACTCACTCGGAGGTAGTTGAGAGTGGAATTGGACAGCCCACACCGGGTGATGTTTTTGGAGAGCTGATCCAACATCTGGGGGTCCTGGGCCTAGAGGAGGAGAAAGGTAAGAATACTAGCACCTGGGTTGCATCTGCTCACCTGCCCTATCACCTTAGCCTTGTGACACCCGAAAGAAGAGGGGCTACTATATAAAAACCCATTTTTCAGATGGATAAACTTCAACCCTCTGTCTAGGGCCACTGGCGGGTAATGGCAGACCTCGTTCCACCCTTCCCGCTGCCTGCCCTCAGCCTTGTGGCTTAGATCCTGTGCACAACTCACATGCATGGCAAGGATGCTGCGGGGGATGAGCTCTCGGTGCTGCCGGATACTGAAGTGCCACGTCTTTATCCGCATCATGTCATCAAACATGAACTCCAGGTACAACCGGCCCTCCACACAAACCTGGAAACAAGCTTGTCACAAGTCTGCCCACCACTCCACATACCCAAAAGTATATCGGTTCCCCTGTTTCCTCATGATTCTCCCACTGCATACACTCCTGCCACCTGAACAGAAACCTGGGTGCATAACTGACATGGACCATCTCCTCATATACCCACCACACCGGCCCACACACACAGAGACACACAGACAGACAGACAGACAGACACACACACACACACACACATACACACACACACACAGAGTAGAAACGCTTAAAAGATTCTTGTCCTCTCCTCTTGTAGCTAGTAAAACACTCGTCAGCCATAAGCTCCATGAGGACAGGCTCTTGTTCACTGGTGTCTCCCTGTGGCCCAGAAAACTGTCATGTACAAACTCAATACATGTCTGCTGAATACTGCAGCATGCCTGCCATCCCTGTGTATCTTGCCACTTCCCATTATGTCTCCCTGGGGAAAAGCCAAGTACATTTTTGGGAGCCAGAAGGGGAATCAAACCCAGGTACTTCAGCGCTCCACATCCAGCTGGGTGCTAACCTGGGTGAACATAGGTTTGCCATGCTGGGTCACCATGCTGCCCTGGTCACAGTCAAGGGAAACAAAGTTGCTGTGGAATGCCTCCTTGGGGTGCTTAAGTACATAGTAGAGCTCCGTAGCACCCCCCTCAAAGATGCTGCGGAAGTAGCGTGGGATCAGGGTCCGGCCAATGGCTGCAGAGATGGGACAAACTCTTCAGAACAGAAGGATCTCAAAAGTGGTTAGGCAGATACCACCCCTGCCAAGACAGATCCCCTGGGACAAATACCCACGCCCAGATCTTAGAAGGACACAGGAGATGTACGCTCTTACAGCAGCACTGGCAGGACCCCCAGAGGTCACTCACTATATCTCTTTGGTCCATCCTCCAGGCAGAAAGTGATGGTTAACATGGCATCATCCTCAAAGAACTCAGTTGTGAAAGCATCCCACCAGAGATTGTCACACTCCTAAGAAGCACAGGGAGGGGTGTGTGTGTCAGAAGACATGCCACAGAGGTGCCCAGATGGCCCTCTCCCTCCAAGCTCCTTTCCCCTGGCTATACCTCTGTCCAGTTTTGAAGCCGTTTGTTAAGCTCGAATATCCTGTAGTCAGTTTGGTTGCCATATGGTGTGTGCCTCCTGGGGGAAGTGAAGAAGGGAGATCAGTAGGAAGAGAGCCTCCCCCCACCACCTCCACCTTCACCCCTGTAATGGAAAGCACCAACCTCCCCACTGGGCTCCACTTACCCAATCCCAGGCTCCAGGTAGGTAGGCGGGTACATGGGAGTTGGGCTGTGTAAGGGAAGAGGCTATGAGAATGGGGGTGGAAGACAGGAATTATTGGGGGGTGTCACTCCCTCCCCTTTTCAGGCAGGATGCCATCTGGGGAAGGAACAGGAAGTGGACAAGAAACTCACCCCACATCCCGATCTAGCATGGTGCCGGGATGGAAGGGGGGGAAGGCGTTGCCGTTCGGGGGCTCCTTGGGCGAGTACAGCTTGAATGACTTTGAGGAACAACCTAGAAGGGAAAGAAAGAAGGGGTCTCCTGAGTCCCTCTTGGCAGTGCTCCTGGAAGTCTGCTAGACTGTATGCACAGGGACTGGTCTTCTGGAGCCCCCGAGGGCACTAGGGGAGGGAGACTACCCTACGGAGCACCTATACCAGTTTTTATTAAGAAACTAGAAGTTCTCAGCCCTAATACCCAAGACCCCACTTCTTCATGTGGCTGAGCCCTGGATGACAGAATTGAACCTCGGAAGAAATGTCAATACCACAGAATAAATATCTAAACATCAGAATCTAAAATTTTGATAAACTCCCTTTTCATCTACATTATTTTGTTTAATCATCATCACAACCTTGTGAGGTAGCAGGGTCGAGTGTAACATTCCCATTTTATAAATGAAGCAACTAAAAGTTCAAAGGGACTTACCAAGATCGTACAGCTACTAACTGGCAGTTAGGACTTGAGCCTAGTCTTCGATTCCCATATCCTATAGTATTTACCCCTCTATTGCCCTCTGGAGACCAGGCTGGGGGAGGGTAAAGGGGGATTTTGCCAACTCCCTGCTCCTTCTCCACCCCCAGGGTCTCAGGAGGGCAGGGGATAGAAAGATAAAGGGTGGGGGGAGTGCCTGCTGGGTGCCGCCCACCAGATAACCAGTTGGGCCTTCTGCCTCTCCCACCAACGGCCACTCCCTTATCAGCCCAGCGCCCCACACACACACCCACCATGGGTCTAGTATTGTCTCCAAACCAGAAACCCAAAGCCTCAACCCCTTTTTTCTCCTTAGACTTGCAGTGAGGGAGGGAGGTAGACGGGCCTCCAATGGATCCCACTCTAGTTACATATAGAAAATAAGAAGCCCCAGGGAAGGAGCCTAGGTTTCAGGGGCTCAGTCTAGGAGGCAGGTGGTAACTAGACAGGGTCTCTGCTTGTGTGTATCTGTGCATGTGCTCATGTGTACCCTCTCCACCTCACTCAGAAGCATACACAGTTCTACTCCTGCTCTACTATTACCTGACTGGAAGAAGTGTTACATTCATAGCTAGGTAAGAGCCAGGTACCCTCACAATGCCACTTATCCCCTCCCCACCAGACAGGAGGAGATCATGAAGCAGAGTCCTAGTCACAGCTGCTTCCTCATGTCCCCCAAACTTGATTGCATTTGGAAGGGTAGCTGTATCGGCTGTATCTGAGCCCCATCTCCAATTTAGATAAAAGATCTATTTTGTTCCTTGGGAGGAAGAGACAAAGGAACACCCTGTACCAACATGTATCATTTAATTCTCTCCCCTGGGTCCCCTCCTCACAATATGGGCCAAAGGAGGGTCCCAGAGCGGCCTACCCTCCACCGTCCCCAAAGACTCAGTGCCAAGACTCAGAGCCTGTACCTGCACACGCGTGTGCCTCATCCTGCCTAGCAGGCTTGCACCCTCAGCTCGCCCCAACATGTCTACCAAGGGCTGGAACCCAGCAGCCCCAGGCAGGATCAGGGTGCCTGCAACAGGCCCTTGCCCCACGCATGAGCTCTCACAGGCCACATCCAAATGCTCCCAGCACGACATACACAGCCTTCACATGCCAGTTAGGACTGAATGAGGAGCATGTGTCCTCAGGAAAGAGACCGTCCCACCCAACCCCAAGTCCCCCCACTCCACAGACAGGTCGACAAGGCCATGTAGGAAGTCAAAGCTCACATTAGCAACCAGAAGCCAGGCCTGGGCAATGCACCCAGTAGTCTAGATTATTAGACCTGGCCCTCATCCCCTACCTAGGCCCTCCTTTCCCCAAAAGCATTACTGCCCCTGCCCCTCAGTTTCAGGGCCACTTGAAATGTATCAGATCAAGACCCTAAAGAGAAGGGAGGCAAAACACCAGGGTTCCTCTCTAACTCTGAAAAAAGTTTCAGAGCTTCAATTTCTCACTCGAGAAATGACAGGCATTGCCTGGGGCTAGGTAACAGTACTGAGGAGCTAAAGCCCAAAGCTTTGGGGCCTCTATTTACACGACCAGTGAATGGACACAAACAAACTCAGCATCTCTCCAGAGCCATAGCAACTCCCAGTAGCCCCAGCACAAGGGCTGGGGAGTGAGAAGAGAAGGGGAGGGAACATCACCCAGACCATCTGTCCCTGCTGCTGCCTGTCCCCAGCAGCAGGGGTAGAGGGAGCAACGTGGGGGTGGGGGTGAGGGGATGGATGTGTCATCCAGTCTTGGAGTTAGGCAGAGTCCCGTCTCCCACCTCTAGCAACCTAGGAGCCCTTAGGAAGGGGGAGGAGAGAGGAAGAGCCCAGAACTAGTAAAGTTTTCTCAGAATGGAAGCTGCATCCTGTGGCCTAGCGGGGCACCTCCAGCTGGGTATTTCCCATGGTAACCAGCCTGACCCGAGGGCAGGCCCCCTCCCTTTGGGGGCTGACCAAAGGTCAGCAGGCCCGAGAGCCCTCTCCTCTATGAGCTAGGTCACCGCTCTCACAGCCAGCATACCAGGCCCGGGCCAGATGGAGGACCTTCCACCCACCCCCAACAGGCTTGCAGGGTGCCCAGACTTACTTACCTGGGAGAACTGAGGGGGCCAGGAGAGGTGCGGGGAGCGGCTGCGAGCCCAGAGGGGCCCTGGAAGGGGTGAGGCCTGAGGGGGGGCCAACTTCAGCCGCTCATGTCCCGAGTGGGACAGGCAGGCCTGGCTGGGAGTTCCACTCCGCGGGCTGCACAAAGACTCGCACGCACGGCCTCGGCCCGCCCCACTGCGGCCACAGCCCCGGGAGAAAGTTACAATGGCCACTGGGCTGGGGACCCGGGGCCAGGGGGCCGGCCTGGGGGGCGGGGGGCCGCGGGGAGTCCGGAGCCTTCTTTGTTTGCAAGGTTTCCCTCAACAATGGCTGCTCCGCTCTTTCCTCCTCCTCCTCCTCCTCTGCTCTCCCCGCCGCCGCCTCTGCCTCTGCCTCCAAGCAGCCCGCCCGCCCTCCCCAGGCCAGCAGGCCCCTCCGCCGGGGCACCAGCAGAGGCAGGGCCCGGCACTCACACTCACTCACACTCGCACACGCACAGACACACGCAGCGCCCCGCCAGCTCCCTTCCTTTTCTCCCTTTCTCTCCCTCCCTCCCCGCTGGCTCTCTCAGAGCCTCTCTCAGAATGAGGCCCCAGGGCGGGCGGAGGGTGGAGCTGCCCCCACCGGCCCCGCCCCCTCCCTGCGAGGAAAGAGGAAGAGGGAGAGAGGGGAGGGAGAGAGCTTGAGAGAGGGAAGCAGGCAGGGAGGACTACTGAGAAAAACAAAAGAGAGACAGAGACTGGGAGAGACAGGGGACAGGCCGGAGAGAGGGAGACAGAAGAGACTGGGTCTGGAGAGACCGGGATGGAGGGGAGGGCTGTGGGAGCCAGGAACTGGAATGCCGCTCCCAAGCCCCAAGCGGGGTGCTTAGGGGTGAGCTGGGGAGCCCAAGCCACAGGCAGGGATGGAGGAGGGCACTCGTCCTCTCTGGAGACTCCCAGTATCTTCTAACAGCCTCCCAAACATCCCCCAAATCTCTCTTCCTCTCCCTAGTGATCTCTCGGGTTGAAGGCTGGCCTGGGCAGCCACCCTTGGCTGGTGAAATCCCAGAGCAGCTGGGGGGAAGGCTCCAGGGGGTTATTTTTGACAGAGACACACTCAGACTTAAGCCCGTAAACACTGATTGGAAGGAGGGGGACACTCCAGGTTCCCTGCCCCCAACCCAGCTTAGTTCCAAATGCTGACTACCTTTGCAGGAAGCCCCCTTTCCCCCACCCACCCATCACCACCACCACCACCACCACCACCACCACCACCGGAGGCACGGCACGGCCTCGGCCCGCCCCACTGCGGCCACAGCCCCGGGAGAAAGTTACAATGGCCACTGGGCTGGGGACCCGGGGCCAGGGGGCCGGCCTGGGGGGCGGGGGGCCGCGGGGAGTCCGGAGCCTTCTTTGTTTGCAAGGTTTCCCTCAACAATGGCTGCTCCGCTCTTTCCTCCTCCTCCTCCTCCTCTGCTCTCCCCGCCGCCGCCTCTGCCTCTGCCTCCAAGCAGCCCGCCCGCCCTCCCCAGGCCAGCAGGCCCCTCCGCCGGGGCACCAGCAGAGGCAGGGCCCGGCACTCACACTCACTCACACTCGCACACGCACAGACACACGCAGCGCCCCGCCAGCTCCCTTCCTTTTCTCCCTTTCTCTCCCTCCCTCCCCGCTGGCTCTCTCAGAGCCTCTCTCAGAATGAGGCCCCAGGGCGGGCGGAGGGTGGAGCTGCCCCCACCGGCCCCGCCCCCTCCCTGCGAGGAAAGAGGAAGAGGGAGAGAGGGGAGGGAGAGAGCTTGAGAGAGGGAAGCAGGCAGGGAGGACTACTGAGAAAAACAAAAGAGAGACAGAGACTGGGAGAGACAGGGGACAGGCCGGAGAGAGGGAGACAGAAGAGACTGGGTCTGGAGAGACCGGGATGGAGGGGAGGGCTGTGGGAGCCAGGAACTGGAATGCCGCTCCCAAGCCCCAAGCGGGGTGCTTAGGGGTGAGCTGGGGAGCCCAAGCCACAGGCAGGGATGGAGGAGGGCACTCGTCCTCTCTGGAGACTCCCAGTATCTTCTAACAGCCTCCCAAACATCCCCCAAATCTCTCTTCCTCTCCCTAGTGATCTCTCGGGTTGAAGGCTGGCCTGGGCAGCCACCCTTGGCTGGTGAAATCCCAGAGCAGCTGGGGGGAAGGCTCCAGGGGGTTATTTTTGACAGAGACACACTCAGACTTAAGCCCGTAAACACTGATTGGAAGGAGGGGGACACTCCAGGTTCCCTGCCCCCAACCCAGCTTAGTTCCAAATGCTGACTACCTTTGCAGGAAGCCCCCTTTCCCCCACCCACCCATCACCACCACCACCACCACCACCACCACCACCGCCGGAGGCACGTGGGTGCAAGGGAAAGGGGCTCTGTTAGAGCTCAGGAAGGCAAACTTGCCCATCTGAGGGTCCCCAGAAGGGGTCTAGTCTGCTGCTGAATCCTCCCCCAAACCCTAGGAAAAAACGGTATATGGTTACCAGGGTAGGAACCTGTTCTCCAATGCAAGGGGGGAAGCCCAAGAGAGGGGGCTTTTCTAAAACTTGGATAGTGGTCCAGGCCCTACTACCTGGACAGAAACACACACACACACACACACACACACACACACACACACACACTCTCTCTCTCTCTCTCTCTCTCTCTCTCTCTCTCTCTCTCTCACGGGAAGTGGGGGGCAGTAAGGACTTCCTTCTTCTTTGCAATTTGAGTCTCAGCTTTCTATTCCCGCCCCCCCAACCAGATTCACACACAGCCCCACAACAGGATGGCATGCACACCAGCTGACTGTGCAATAATAATACTATTGCATCTGGCTCTGTGAACATCCTCCACACACAATTAACACAGCTCACTCTCACACAAATCCGTACCTGATACACACTTCAACCTGTGATATACCTCAAACCCCAAATAAACCCAAACCCAGGACACACACACATACACAGTGGGACCTGTGATGCACATGCCCCAAGCCCCAAGACACACCCCAAAACTGCATTATACCTCCTGAACCTTTGACAGACTGCTACACACATGTGTTACCATTTGTTACCCAGGGACTAACCCCACCCCCCTCTGAAATCTGCACACCATTCTCCACCATGGCCTGGCCATATGATACATCCTGGCTTTCATAAACCTATCGAAATCTATACTGTTCGGTCAGAATGCCTATCATCATACTGCCTACCACCAAGACTTGAGATACTTGTCCTGACTCCCAAATTTACAGCCCAACTCTGGGATAACTACATTCCTCCCCCACTGACAGGACAATTCCTGTCATTTGTTTTGCTCCTTTAAACTTTCCAAAGCACATTCACAGGCAGTACCTCAAGAGATCCTAATAGCATCCAGGGCCTATTATCCTAACTTGCACAGATTACAGTGAGACAGGAGGGCCTGAGGCTGGAACCCTGGTTCTAACCCCACTCACACAAGCCCAGCCCTGGGGCACTGCAGCCATTCCTACTGCCTGCCCCCTCCAAGGAATAGTCACTCCAGGCCCCAAATGACTATCTACTTGGGGAGGGGAGATGGTTGTGGGCTCTGGCTTCAGCATCCAGTTCAGAACTCAGAACCCCTACCCAGTCTGTTTCCTCAAATTTCAGGGAGAAGGGCCCCTAAATACCAAGATGTATCCAGACCCTGGCATATCATTCAAAACAGGCCCTCTCCTAGTTCCCCTTCTCCAGCAAGTCCTCTCTCAGTTCGGACTTAATTCTCCCACTTGCACAGGGGCAGATGAGGTCCAACTAAAGAGAGCAACTCAGAGTTAGAAGGCTCTAAAATTGGTGGGAGGTGGGGTGGGGAGAAAGCAGGGAGCAGCAAAGACTGACAAAGGTGATGAGGGAGGGAAGAGCAAGAGCACCCCTGCTGGAGGTGGGAATTCTGAAGGAGAGCAGCCCGCCACAGCCCACAGGATAAGGTACTAGCACTGCCCCCTGCCCGGGCCCCTGGGGCTCCCTGACCCAGGCCTCCAGTGTGCCTGCCCCCCTTCCTTTGTCTGTGCCCGGCCTCCCGTTGGCCTGGCGCTCTGCCATCCTCCTCTCCTGGCTCCCAGCCGCCACCACTGCTGCCTCCTCCCCTCCCCCTACTCCTCCCTACCTTAACCCTTCTGAGCCACATGCTGCCCCAGACAGGTCCTGGCCCCCTCAGCAACCTGCCCTGCCCAGGATGATGTCCCTTAGCAGAGGTCCTCCCTGCTCCTGACCAAAGCCCCAGAAGCTACTACACACCCCAGAAGCACTATGAGAGCTAGATGTGTGTATGTGTGTGTATCTTGTAGTGTTTCCTTCTGCATGTGCATGTGTGTGGGTCTGCGTGTGCTCTGGCTTCCCTCAGTCACATGTGTGGGGCATGTGCTGTCTCTGCCGGGCTGGGGGAGGAGGAGCCGGGAGACAGCAGAGCACAAAGGAGAGACTCAGGCAGGCAGGCAGGCAGGCAGCAGGCAGGCAGCCTGCCAGGGCGCCTGGGCCCCCACCCCAGGGCTGCTCAGGTTGCGGGGGGTGGTCTCTAGGCCTGGACTGGACATGCTGCCACGGGGTCCCTGTGTTCAGCCATGTGCTCACACACACCCATGCAAGCCTGGTGCCCTCCCTTACCCCAAATCCTACCATTTCTCACCCCCAGGCCACTCTCATGCCCCTCCCCAAATGGTTCTCTTGAAGACTAACCTCCATCCATCCTCTGTGGCACCAATCCGTAAGACTTCCTCACATTCAGGAAAAAGATTCCCCACTCTCGGCCATCTTAGGCCCCCTCTCCCCCAACCAGATCACCAGACACACAAAAGGAACATACCTTTTAGGGCACTGCCTTAAGTTGTCCCCCCTCACACATACAGGTCCTCTTCTGTACCCATGCTGCTCCCAGAGAAACTGAGAGGGAAACTTTCTCCCTTCTCCTACAGGACCAGGCACCCTACCTCAACTTCAAGATCAACCTCCCATCTACCTCCAGCCTGACAGCCCTTCCATACTCACCTCCTGCTCACTATTTGTAGGCACTAATAATCATACTTAAGACTCAGCCCTTTAGCTATGCTTATGTAGGGTGATGGAGGATCAAGGCCATGGGATGGACTCAGAGAATGGATGGATCTGAACAGCGTACTCAGCATGGGGCAATTGTAAAGAAAATACACAAACACACACACCAGGCTGGTAGGAGGAGGAATGATGGTGCCAGGCAGGATTCCAGCTTGGCAGGCTCTTCCCTCTCCTCCTCTCCCCGACCCTCTGCAGCAGGATCCAGGGGTTCCCACACCTGGATATTCCAGGATTCTTAGGCTCTACTAGCCCTCCCTCTGGGCCCCATGCCCCTTAAACGTCAGCCTCAGCAGGCACTTTAAGTGTGTGCCCAGCCCAACAGAGCTTTGGCCTGGGTCACATGATTTTCAAGGAAGCTTCCGCACTGGCAGCTTCCCTTGGGGATGTGTGTTGGGGGGAGGGGGGTTTCCAGTTGTGAGGTATGGGCCTCCCAGAGAACAGGGCATTTGGAGGGGCTAAGGATCCAAACCAGGCTAGATTCAGGAATACCTGACT